TAATGAGCAAAGAATAAAAACATGTCTCTATCCCTTGTATAGCAAAATCGGATGTTTTTCCCCTTCAAAGATACACAAAAGTCTTACTACTTAAAAATGCCTGTGCTTTCATGACTAGTGTTTTGCTTCATGCATATTATTTTCCAATCCAGGTTTGGCCGTAAATTTTGCCTCTTAACCACAATTTTTGCAAACATTATCTGTGGAATCCTTCTGGTCTTTGTGCCCACCTACCTGTGGATAGTCATCATCCGGTTCCTGCAAGGGCTGGTCAGCAAGGGCTGCTGGACTGCAGGCTACATCCTGGGTGAGTTCAGGAACTTCTCCCAGGCATAAGACTATCTGTAGAAGATAAAGGGAAAACCTCAACTAAAAAAAACCTGAACAAAAACCATTAAAAAAAAAATGCCTCCCATGGTGTTTTATCAAGGAGTTTTCTCCCTCTTTGACTTCTCAGGATTTTTTTCAAGAACTGTCATTAGGGAGGAACAATAGTAGCTTTCAAAGCTCCATCAAGTTGTGGTATATGAGGGCTGTTACCTTGAGACAGGCTTTTCCCCTATGGCACAGCTCACCTTTGCGGATCTGGGCACCTGGGCTCCTCTTCCTCCCATCGAGCTCTGGCTGGGGAAGGTGATGGCCCCAGGCAGACTGTATCTGCTCCAGACAGGATGATGACAGAGGAGGCTGGAAGAGGGTGGGGAAAAGTTGAGGCATTTTTATGGCACAAAGAGCATTAAAGGCCAAACAGAGGCTTTACAGCCTAAAAATAGCTGAAGAACCTGTAGCCTGTACTTGCTGAGAAAGGCAAAGTGTTTGTATATCTGTGTATCCACTTGTCTGAATGGAGGTTAAGCCATGAGAGGAGCCAACCTCTGTGGATGCCTCTCCCAGTGCCCTGCACCAATTGTGTCTGGTGGTGAAGCACTGCTGTGTTGCCAGGTTGGGTTCGGGACCATCTCAGGACCATTTTCTGGTGCAGGGTGGAGCTCCCTGTGATTTCTCTGATTTCTCTGAAATGGAGTTCAATCCCTTGTATGAAATACCCAACACCAAGCAATCACTCAAGCAGCAGATTAAATATTTTAAATGCTGACTAATAGAGCCTTATCTGGACTAGGACATCAGATGGCTCTACCAGATAGCTCTGAGTGATGCAGTTCACTGTGATAGTGGTAAAAACGTAAATGTCAATGCCTCCATTAAGTGTTTTAGTGGGGTCATCTTACTTGTGCTGTTATATAGTGTCTGATATAAATAAAATAAAAGCACCTATCCCACAGTGCAGACTATCTTCTGCTAAGACATGATTGCTCTTTCCAGTGCATTTCCAGATGCTTGCTTGGCCTCTTAAATCTTTTCTTTCCACAAATGAAATCCTCATCATCTCTTCTGGGGAACTTTATGCCATTTCAGAGCACAAAGTCCCTTTCAGGACAATGACTTGCCCTGTCCTGATATTTTCCCTCAGTTACATCTTATTACTTCTGGATTCTCTTGAAACTCTCTCATAAAAAAGATGTCACCCAGAATCAGGCCCGAAGCCCCCTAAGGGTTGGCCAACACTGCCTACCCAGGGAAGGGTACCAGGACAGAACAACCTTGTTACCCTGCTCTGATGGGGCACTTGTCTACACTTCAGCTGCCTTTGGCTCAGTCCTACTGAGCCTGAGGAGATGTCTTTGTGCATTATTTGGCCAAGCAGTATTAGTTAATCTGTAATTCCAAAACTCAGTGCTTCCTTTAGTTGCTTAATAGCTGCTCTCTGTTATTTTCCTAATCAGTTTGATTTCTTGAAATCATACAACTGCACACAAAATGTTGAGTGCACTTGTGCCTGCCTGCTGGAATAGTTACTTTTAACTCTGTATCAACAAGACTTAATCTGTGGGTCTATGTTTTTGATGTGGATTTGCAAAGTGCAGATGAACTGTGATGCCATCCTGACCAAGGAGCTCTGTGCCATCCTGTGATACAGGCTTGCATGCTTGGAGTGAGATGCAGGCTGAAAGGCACACTTTGGAAACAAAATATTCTGCTTTGTTATTATGTTGGAGCCATTGTGTATGTAGGCATTAGATTTTACCATGAAGTCCATCTGTGCACTTTTGTCAAATGCTTGATTTACTCAAAGGTCTCCATGACAGAGGACAGTACTCAATGTCTTAGGACAGTATAAGACCAGGAGCTGGTGTTTTCTTCTCCACTGAAGTTTGGGTGACAGAAAAGCAAACCTTTCCCTATAAGCATTAGGGGATTTTTTTTCTCTAGACATGCTGGGAAGCCCATGATCAACCAAGATGGTTTCTTCAAGGTGTTGATATGGCACTGGTCTTCCAGTGTCCCCACATAGCAAGTTACTCCTGTGCTGAGTGGTCGTGGCATTCACCTGTCTTTGTGCGTGTTTGCAGTGACAGAAGTTGTCGGTCCACAGTACCGGAGGACGGTGGGCATCCTCTACCAGATGGCCTTCTCCGTTGGGCTCCTGGTCTTCGATGGCATCGCTTATGCCATCCCTCACTGGCGGTGGCTGCAGCTCACTGTCACTCTGCCGACCTGCTTCTTCCTTCTCTACTACTGGTAAATGGGCTTCTGTTGTACCTCTGCCCACAATCCCAAAACAAACCAGCTTCTCCTGCATCTGAGGCTTGATACTGAAGGAGACTTGGCATTCCTTCTTGGTCGTGCACACCTCTTGGTGCAAAGAAGAGGTTCACAGCAAAAAGGAGAGGGAAATATAGGACCCCTCAGCAACTGAGACCTTATTGAATCTTAGCCTGTGCACCTTACCTGACCTGTATTTAAAAGACAGATCGCTTTGAAAAACACTAGAGGAAAAGAAAATGAATATAATTTATTTTATTTAAGCATTTCATAAAGGAAAATAAGTCCCTTGGCATAACTTAGTGGACTCTACACTGAAAATATGGTTGAGATATTGTCTAATGCTAACATAACTGTAACATGTTGTTAGCATGTTATTTTAAGGAAAAAAAATGCGGGGTTTTGTGGTCCAATCAAAAAAAAAAAGCATGTGGTCTCACCTTAATTTTTATTTCTCCCTTCTCTTTTTAATTGATTTTTTTTGTTTGAATGCTTTGGATTTTATAAATTTTCTGGATGTGTCAAGGGATTAGGAATAGTAGAAAAAAAATGTTGCCTTCTTCCATATTTTTGAGTTGGTAAGCCAGTTCTAGCTTCTTTTCTATTACTTAACCTGTAATGCCACAACTGAAAAATGGCTCCCTAAGAAGAGCCATTTGTGATTTGTGGTGAATGGGATGGTTAAGATGATAGGGTCGTGATATCAGCCACCCTTCCCTGATTTATCCTTAATAAACTCTTCTTTGATTAAAGTCACTACCTCAGCTGCTTCTCTTCTAATCTCAGCTGTGGGATATACTACTTTTTCCTGATTGTGGAAGTGGGAAGTAACAAACAAAACCCACCCACCTAAACAAAAAAGCCATCTGCCTTAATTCAGTCAAAGCACTCTCTCCGAAGTCTCCATACATGGAAGCACTGTGTGGGCTTTATGTTTTGGTATATAATGTCATCCACTTGTGTTGCAGGTGCCTCCCAGAGTCTCCCAGGTGGCTGATATCTCAAGGAAAAAATGACAAAGCTATGAAAATTGTCCGTAATATGGCTAAAAAAAATCAGAAAAAGTTGCCTTCCCATTTTGAGGTGAGCTCAGCATTTGCTTGTGCATGTAAATAAGCATCACCTTCTATCAGTTCCTCCCAGTAGAAACCTAATGCCCTATGTACTGGCTCTTCCATAGGATATTAAATTTGAGGAGGAAGATTGTGGAAAGCAGAATCCTTCACTAATTGACCTTGTCAGGACACCACAGATAAGAAAAAACACACTTATTTTGATGTACAACTGGTAAGAATATAATGTGGGAGAGCTGTTTTTCAAGCTCTGGTTTGGAAAACTCCTGCAGGACACCGATCTCTGTTCTCTAACTGACTAACAAACCCAGGGTTTTCTTCTCTGCCCAGGTTCTCAAGTTCTGTCCTCTACCAGGGGCTCATCATGCTCATGGGAGTAGCTGCTGGGAACATGTACCTGGATTTCCTCTATTCTGCACTTGTTGAGTTCCCAGCCGCCTTCATCATCATCGTCACTATTGAACGTGTTGGGCGGCGCTACCCCTGGGCTGTGTCAAACCTGGTGGCTGGTGCCGCCTGCCTTCTCACAGCCCTGATCCCTGAGGGTAAGTCACCTGAATGACACCCGGTGGGAGCTTCCCACTCTGTCATCCAGGTCCTCCATGCTGCTTAGTGAGGGTCCCTGTGCTCATGAAGTGCTGACTGTTCCCATTCCCTCACTTATGTAGGTCCCTTAAAAACACCAGCTGACATGGGATCAGAGGTCCCCCAAAATAACACTGTTATACTGATTGACACCTGCTAAATCACTGGGATACTTTCAAATGTGTTGAATGCATTTCCTCTGCAGATATACATTGGTTAAAAATGATTACTGCTTGCATCGGGAGAATGGGAATTACAATGGCTTTTGAAATGGTTTGCTTTGTAAGCACTGAACTGTATCCAACGTACATCAGGTAGGTGCATCCTCCCCCCAGTTGGCATTTGGTCTGGAAACAGTTGAGGCTGATGTGTATGTTGTGTTTTACGATAAGTTATCCTCAAGTGTGTCAGAGCTACAATTAAAATGCTTTAAAAAGGTAGGTTAATAAAGAAAACAAATGTACCTTTAGAAAGGGGAAAACACATGACTGAAATCAAGGGAAAAGTGGAGAAAACCAGGGTGGGTGAGAGATCTGAAGTCCCTCACAGTGCTTGGTTTTGTCCTGCGCAAGAGTCAGAGTTGTGATCCATCCCCTTCCAACTGAAGTACTCTGGCACTAACATGATCCCTTTGCTACTGAACCAGGAATCTCGGGGTGATGATTTGCTCCTCCTTGTGTGATGTTGGTGGAGTCATCGTCCCGTTCATTGTCTACAGACTGGTGGAAGTCTGGCATGATCTGCCACTGATCGTCTTCAGTAAGTGCCACCTTACGTCCTTGCTGACCTCTCCCAGGGTGCACCAGTGGGACCTGAATTTCGAAGGGAGGGAAAAACCACCGAGGCAGCTGCTGTAAGTTCAGCAGAAGCCTCTTGCTGTCTATGAAGCCATAGCTTTCAGTTTATGGCAACCTGGAGCTTGTTTATGCTTTCATGTCTCCTTTGCCCTTATTATTTCTCCTTGCGTTTTAAAGGAAGTCAGAGGTGAATACAGGTTTGACAGGTGGCAAAGAGCTGAGAAAAAATTTGAGATTAATATTTGATGGATTCAAAGCTGATGAATTACTGTTCTTCTGTGAGATATATTGTCTCAGTCCAGGAGCCAAACCCTCAAATTTCACATAACTACAGAATTGCCTGTTCAAGGGAATACAAATACAGCTGTTATGCTTCAGCTTTTCCTACAGTCTGTTAACTGGCTATTTTTCAGCTATTTGGAAAGAGGTTGGTAAATATATGCAAGATAAGTGTTTGCAGACTAGTGACCTGAACTCTCAGTTCAGGGTCTGCAACACTTTTCTGAGTCTTTAGATCAGCACATTATTTATAGAAAAATGTGTTGAATAAAAATATGCAGTTTTTAACAGACAGGGCATCTAGAAGGTGCTTAGTAGATTTAAAATATATATGCCAAATATGTACAAGCTGGGTAAAAGAAATTATTGGTGGAGAAGTTAATCACATTTTTTAGGAGACAATACGTTCTGTATGTATTTTCTAATCTTATGTGAATAGCATAGAAATAGAATAGGTTTTCTGCCATACTCTTGCAATGGAAAGGGTTCCTTCTGCTATAAAACCTTCCTCTAAAGACAGAAGGATTGCCTGTCCAGTCTGAGGTGTCCTAGTTTGGTGCATACCTCACAAGAGAACTTGTCTTGTTGCTGTCTCTCTATGGTAGCCACATCCTCCAGAGGAGGCATGGCAGCTTTGCATATAGAGGCTTGAGGTGCACATCTTGTATGAAGAAGATAATAAAATGCTGTTGACACGTCCTTTCTATCAGGCTGTGGTTGGTATATGCTCACAAGCCCTTTGTGTCTGTGTTTGATTTGAAGCTATTCTTGGTTTGACTGCGGGTGGATTGGTGTTGCTTTTGCCTGAAACTAAAGGAAGAGTTTTGCCTGAGACTGTGGAGGATGTTGAAAACTTTCACAGGTGAGTCATGAAGATGAACTCTTACCAGCTTTCCCTTGAAATTGGGCAAAACCTCTGTCCAGAGGCCCTTGGGGAAGCCCAGGGGTTACCTGGCTGCCTTCTTTGTTTCCAAGAAGTTGCTGGTTAATTTTGAGACTCTCACTGGACAGACTTTGGACTCCTTTTACCACATGTTCACCTAGGCATCTGAAAAAAAGTAGCCCAAGCCTTTACTGTCTTGTGAATAAAACTGCACTAGTCTCTCAAATGTGGTGCAACACCATTATAAACATTATTTGTGTTTAAAAAAACCTTAATAGCAGAATAAGAAAAGGACAGTCTCAACAGCAACTTTGTGTGAAGCACCTGCATCTACTAAGAAGCCAGAACAAACCTGGAAGAATAGATAATTTTCTTGGGGCCGAAGCAGAGCAGGTGAAGAACTTGAATTTAGGTGCTCACCAAACACCTTCATTCCTGGTTGATGTTCATGTCTTGTTATTCTTGCAGGCAAAGTGCTTCAAAGGGCAAAAAAATTTATCTCCATGTCAGAAGCCCAGAACATAACTGAAGAAGGCGCAATTCTTGCCAGGTAGTCTGCTTTAGGGCAGTAGCATGGAAAGGTAAATTGGAATAAATACTCTTTCAAAAGTCTTGCCTCCACCTCATTTTTAATTATTTATTTATTTATTTTATTTTCTCTGCATATTTTTTTATTTACAATGTTTAGGGTTTTCTGAGGGGATTTTCCCTATTGCTACATAGTTGCTTCCTTCTCTGTACACAAAGATAAATATATTTTATGGCTGGGAAATCTTGTACCAGCTCTGTGGACTTCGACATAGGGAGAAATCTTAACTTGGGAATGGTGGGATCCATCCCTTCATGAAGTCTGCCTTTGTTTTTCTTACAAAGCAGTAGCATAATATAACAGAAGCTTATCTCTGTTGGGCACTCAAGGTGACTACAAACCTGATTCAGTCATGTTACAACTTGCAACAGATTTGCAGACTTTAAAAAAAAAATGTTATTTTACTTTCTCCTATTTTATTGGCTAGTCACAGGGATGGATAGGATGGGCAGGAGGCAACTTCAGAGTGTGAAAAGGGGTGCATAGCTGAAAGGCTCCTAATATTTCATAAGGCAATAGCCTTATAAGTGTGCTCTACAGGGACCTTCCTTTGGAGTGATCTGGGCTCAGGCTTGGGGACATGCAGGTCCCTGCAGGACTAGGGATCCTGTGTCTCTGGGAACATCAGGGACAGCACTGGGTCTGCCAGGAGATACCCAGCAGCTTTCACAGATTACCCAGTCCATCCCAGTGAGCAACTCTAACAGACTTGTGGTTGCAGAGCAAAATAAGCACAATGGTCCTGTGGTTCCCCTTTGCTGTTTGTGTTGCTGGGCCCTGTCACTGCTGGGGAACACTGGTTTTCAGTGAGGATACTGTGAGCAAGGAACAAGATACTTCTACCCTTAGATGGTCACCTGCAGGGACAAAGCTCTCATCTGAGCAAATCATTGCTAGACTCTAGCAGGCAGGGTGAAATTCCCCCAGGATTGCTTCCCAGTGTGGCAGTATGGTGACCTTGCCCTTGCTTTCAACTGACCTGACCCTCAGTTAATGTTCAGTGTTGCTGTGAGGGCCCCAAAGGCAGGAAAGCACGTTGTCCTGTGAGGGCAGGGCCATGACAAGGTTGCCCTGAGAAGGATAGGGACTGATCAGGAATGACATGAGTTTGGCCCAGGCAGTTGCAAAACTAGTGTTTGCTTCAGGGTCAGAGGGGAATAAGCTTGTCCTGAGAGGGCCAAGAGGGACAGTGGGGATGTAATTCTGTGTCTTACAGAGTTGGTGTCCTGCTGTGCTTGCATAGATGTCTCTGCTCTACAATGAAAGAAATCTGTTGGATCAGCTGACTTACAGTTCATTGATGCAAAACCTGTTGAAAACTCCTCAGAAAGAAAATGGAGGAGGCAGTAACATGTCAAGCAAAGCAAGTACTGAGATGAATAAATGAGTAGCTACAAAGCTGGCTCTTGAGACCCTTACCCATTGCACTGGTTTTTATTTCCATGAGCACTGCTACTGCTGGGGTAGGGACTACAGGTGTGTGGCTGTGGTGTGCCTTTGCTTTGCAGTCACCTACAAGTGATACTGGCCTTTGCTTCTTGGGGGCACCTTAATGAGCAAAAGAGCAAATGTGCTTCATTCATTTCCTTACTGGTGACCTCTGTCTATTTATGGATTGCTTCCTGGACTTGGGAAGTCTAAGAGATATGTAAAATCAGGTCCAGTTGCCCATGGTTGCTCTCAAAATGTGGAGCAGCTTTGTGTCCTGGGTGGGTGGTAGCAGTAGATCTTCTCCAGGGCATGAGACAAGCTCACATCCTGCCTCAGCTCAAACAGTTTGCCAGCTTCCCATCCTCTTAATAGCAGCTGAAGCTTGTCTGTTCCTGGGGCTGCTGGAGCATAACTAACTCACTGGCAGGGCTGTCTCTGGAGCTGGGGAAGGAGCACTTCCCCAGGAAGGGCAGGTATACCACCACCTGACCCTGGCAACCCAGGGAGCATGCAAACAGGGCAGTGTCCAGGTCAATGAAAGTGGGACTGGCCCTTTGAAAAGACCCTGTCCCTCACCTAAGTACTAAAAAGTGGACTTTATCAGAGCTGTGCCTAAAGAGAACATAAAATCTCCATGTTTCATGGTACTCCGGAGCCCTCACTAACTGGGTTTTGGAAAGAGTTGCTGTTCACTTTTACAAAGTTTCTGGTTTAGTTCGTGGCATCATCTGATGGTCAGATGATCTTGTGGCCAGGGGCAGCACTTTCTAAGCACTGTTCTTGTCCTTTGCTCTCGCTGTCAGCGCCTAAATCCAAATGCCAACATGTAAGCATAGCTGTTATTTGGACACTTCAGTGCTCCAATCCCATCCCTACTCTATGGCACTGTGTCATCCTACATCCTATTAATGTTCTAAAATACTAAGGAATTGGGTCTCTTCTCACAACTGGAACTGATCAGGATACAAACTCAAATCCCAAGAATATATACAAGTTGATGAATATGATGTGAATCAGATGTTAAATGCTTCCTAAGGGCTGTGAAGAGGACCCTTCAACCTTCAAAAGAACTACAGCATTTATTTTCCAGCATGTTATTGAGGGAGATCTACTTTTAAATGCCATGTTCTTTTTTTTGGCTCATCTTTCCTCCCTGCTTCAGATCTTATTCCTTACAGCTGTTTGGGAGTTTGGCCATGCAAATAACCAAACTCAGGGCATTAAGAAAACATTAATATGCTTTAATATGCAGGGCACAGCATCCTGTTATTGTTCATCCTGCTCCCAGGGGGTGTCCATGATGGGGCTTCCTCTGCCTACCCCATCACTGATCCCCAATGATGATGTAGTTGCATGCAGCCCCCCCACGTCCTGAGGCTTCACTGCCTCCAACTCCTCATTGACTTCCTTTTCATTTTCCAGCTTGCCTAACATCCAGTCAAATTCCAGAATGCCAGATCTTAAAAACTAGCCTGGGCTTAGAAAGGCTTTATTTTTGTACTTATTTCTCTGGAAAAAGAGGAGTAACCTAGGAGGGAGAAGGAGCTTCTGTATGGCCTGGGCTCCTGAAATGGGCAGTGCTCACTGCTGGGTAGGAGGAGCTCTCTCACAAAGCTGACCTGCTGGGCATCAGGATCATAGACAAACCGACTGCACCAGGATTTTTAGGAATGTAGAGGAAATGATGACAGTAAATCAGCTACTGCCTATGTGCTTATTTTCATGCAGAGTCAGGTGGACCTTGGAACAGGTGCTTTGGGCTCATGACTTCATTCCTGCTCACTATAGAAATGAGCTATGAGTGAGCAGCCCAAAGAGATTTTTGGTTTTATAAGAAGTAGAAGAAAGTGTTCCCTCATGAATTTCCCACTCATGACATATGAGTTGCTGCTACCGGATGCCCTGGGACGCAAGAAGCATTAATGTGTTTGGAAGGCAAATAGAAAAACTTGCAAGACAGTCCATGAGGGAGTGAAGCAGGAATGTGGGCAGACAACCTCTGGCTTGGGAAGTCCTCAAGCCTCAGAGTGTCGGCAGCTGGGGGAGTCCAACAGTGAAAAGATCACCAGAGTGGGGCAGCTCATCCCCTGCATGTGGGGCTGAGGGCTGGGCTTGTTGAGGCTGCTCTCCTGGCCCCCTTCTGCCTCCCTGCCCCAACAAAGGCAGAACCAGGGTAAAATGGGCCATTACTTGGGGGCAGCTTCAGAAGTCAGAATGTGGAGATAGATCACTTTTTCTTTACTTCTCTCTTGCCTGTGGAATGAAAGGGGAAAAGGCAGGTAATGCACCTGGTGCCTAACAGCATGATCCACCAAGTAATCCATATGCTTACATTCATTGAAAACTAGGTTTAACAGATTGATGTCTTATCACTGGCAATTGTTCAACTGAGGTTAGATTATTTTGAAGAGCAGCAGAATAAGGAGTAAATTGGAGACTTTCTGTGACCTTGTTGCAGCTGTGCTGCTGTCTAGAAATCATACGACAATGGTACCTTTAGTAACTTTGATTCTGGCATTTCCTACTGTAAAATCTCCTATTGTAGGTGGTTTCTAAAGTCACATCTGTGTGTGTGGTTGCATGTATGATTTTCCTAATGTTTCCTAGAGGCAAACTCTCACTGCTCTACCCTGTGCTATGTTGCCATCTCTTTCTGGCCAGGCTAGGTCCTTTTCTTCCCACATCCAATTTTTTACCAGGACAAGTATCTTTTGGCTTCCCATGAGCTTCAGTAAATCCAAGTGACTAGTTCAGTATCTGTGGAGCTCTACCCTCACCCTGGAAGGTACTCTAGGAGGTGCGAGTTGTGCCAGAAGTCAAAAGCACTGAAATCACAGGACATTCACTGCGTTGCTCCACAAATTTAAAACCACATCTCAGCCAGCTTTGTCTCTGTCAACTGGGAGCATCTTTGAGGCCATCAGCAGTCCCCTCACTAATCAGTGCTTTTCAGATGGCCCATGAAACCACCCTCTGCTCCTTCTCTTAATGTCTGGCTCATGTGTAAGGTGTTTGTGGATTGTGGCCAGATCATACAAGAGAGCCCAGAGCCTGATATTACTATCAGGGATGGGTCACACACCAACCATCCCCTGTGTGCAACAAAACCCCTTAGATCCCCAGAGATGTATAATAAATGGGCTTTTTAGCAGATTTTGCAGATGTAAAGGAGAGTCACTCTGCCCTGAAGTTGCTTAATGCCATACCTGTGCAGATTTTCAGCATCTTCAATGGTTTCAGGCAGAGCCTTTCCCTTCATTTCAGGTAGGAGCAAAACTAAGCCACTGTCTATTAGAACAATCACAGCTGCAATCACAGAACAAGGATCACAAAGGCAATGCAATGGTCATGCCCATGTTTAAGTCCAAGTTACTAATTAATTCTCATTAAGACATCTCTACCCTAATGATAGAATAAGGACTCCTCAAAGGGGTAATAACACTTGGCTTTTCATCTTTGTGATTCTTATTTTTCAGAGTAATTGCTGGTATTTCTGAGGTACATCTGAGTCCTGGAAAGCCATCTTGGGGCCCAGACCCAGAGAGGATCTTGCTTTGGTCAGACAATGCCAAGGAAACATGTTTTGTCTCTGGTTGTCCAGCTGACGTGGGATTAAGGTGACACTGGCTAGCTGTACTTTCCTCTCTTCAGTAGATTAGAACATGCATAAAAGGTTACTACCCGTCCACCTGGCTAGTTTCATCTTCTGATTGGTTTTAGACCCTTCTATGACCACACTGAGGGCAGGTGGTGCATGCAGGCACACTGGTTTGAACCTGTGCAATAGTAGGTGTTCAAGGCAGCCCTTTTTTCAGGATAGCAACATTAGGGCTGACCTGCTCCTCTGCCATCCTAAATTGCTATGGGATCCTTGTCAAACTGGACACTGTGAAGTGGCATGTGACATTCATGCAGGGAGACAAGAGGTCAACCTGCTTGGAGCTCAGGTCAGGTAACCACACATCCAGAGATGTTTCTCCCTTTGAAGGGACTCAGCAGGCAGAAGTCAAAGCTTGAAAGGACTGTCCCAAAAGCATGGGGTGCTGTTCACCACAGAATGGGCTAAGGGGTGACTTTGCTGCCACTTCCAAACACCCAGATGGAACAGACTTACCAAGCTGTATCTTACATGTGTACATATGTGTTTGTATGGTTCTCCCTATTTTTTTATTTTTTATTTTTTTATTTTTTTAAATTTTTTTACTTTTTTAATTTTTTTTTTTTTTTTTAAAGATGGGAAATAGATTGCTAAACTAATTAATCTCGTCTTTGGCCAACCAACCCACCTCGCAGCTCTCTTACCAAAGATGACGAGGGGCAGTTCGTGCCAGAGCTCCGCCAGTCTGTACACAAGGAAGGGTGTTATGATCCCACCAAGGTCACACAGGGAGGAGCAGACTAGGACTCCCAGATTCCTGCAATGCACATGCAAGTACACACACACATGAGTACAGATGTCACCAGCTCTGCCAGGGGTGTCTTGTCCAGCTCTGCACCCCAGTGCCCTCACTGGACCCACAAGGGTTAAAACCCCTGCTGCACCACCCAGCATCTCTCCTCCACCTTCTCAAAGTGTGTTTTGTACAAACAAACTCCTCTTCCACTGCAGTGCATCCTCAACTGTGAGCCAGTCTCTTGGTCTGTCACAGAGAAACAGCCAGTGCTTTTACCTGCTGACAGAAGGTGGTGCACTTACCTGAGAAATGTTGGATACAGCTCAGGATTTACCATGCATATAATTTCATAGCACATGGTAATTCCCATCCTGCCCAAGCAAGCTGCAGTCATTTTAAGCCAATAAAGAGCTGGAAAGACATTGTGCACATTAAGGTTGGTATACAAAACTATAGTTTTCGTCTGCTATTGACATAAACCAGCTTTAAATATTTAATTTCAGTCTCTGTACGTTCAAATCCAAACTTGGACTTAACATGACATGCTCTTTGACCTGGTATCTGCACACTTACAATCTGATTTGATGCTATTTTGGAAATTTAATTGAGCCCATTTCTCAAGCCTTTTGTTAGTAGGTATAAATGTAGGTAATGGTGGGACATAAATTAGCTTTTCTAGTATTTACCTTCATTGGATCACAATACTGACATGGGCCAGGTTAGCAAAGAGTGTTTTCTATTTTCCAGAACAACAACCAAGAGACAGGGAGAGAATTCACTGGCAGAGGAGGTTTGCACAACTCACAGTCTGGGACGAATGCCGTAACCAGGCAAGCAGCCCCGGTCATCATGTTAGCTGCAGCCCAGGTGTAGCGACGGCCAATGCGATCCAGTGTTAACATGAGGATGAAGGCGGCTGGGAACTCCACAAGAGCCGAATAGAAGAAATCCAGATACATGTTCCCAGCGGCTATTCCCATGTGCATGATGAGCCCCTGGTAGAGGACAGAGCTTGTGAACCTGGGCAGAGAAGAGGGTGCAAATGAAGCCAACCTCCCTGGGAGAGAGTTTATGCAAAGAATTGAGATTTGCAGCTGGTCAGGAGCAAAACAGGCTTAAATCAACAATGACGATTTAAGGGCACCAGATCACACACTTCCATTTGGCCTGCAAAAGCTTTCCTGATCCTTACCAACTGTACATCAAAATGAATGTGTATTTTCTGATCTGAGGTGTCCTGACCAGGTCTACAAATGAAGGTTTCAACTTTTCTCCATCTTCATCTTCAGAACTGAGATTCTGGGAGCGTAAATGACAGGACAAGAGATTACAGTGGAGAGGGTGGTGAGCATTATAATGAGTATTTTCCTCTAGACCGATGGGAGGATGAAGCAGTAAAGTACCTGAGGGCAAAATAACTTCTCCAGAGTGTTGTGGGGAAAGGAAATATGAAGATTTATACAGGTACTCTTCATATCTCTGTAGTCATGTGTATGGCATGAAGCAGCATTTAAAAAAATAATAAATAAGGCTGTTCTGAAGTTTTAAGTAATGAGGTTTGTCAAGTTTCCTCTTGATTGATGCTACTTAAAAGAAGAATTTGTGTTATCTGCTGGCTATTTTTGCAAGCCTCTTTTTCCCAAATATGCTCTGCGAGGGTCCTAGGCAAAGTAAAGAAAATTCACTTGCCTTTGCTTTAGGAAACTCCAGTGATTTTGACTACCAAACTGCTCCCTACTCTAAACCCAGCACACTCTAAACTCATAACATTATTTTGCTAGAGGCTGGCATGTGTGCAGCAAATGCAGTGCAGTCACCTGGAAAGCAAGAGGTAGCTTCTTCTTATTTCCCTTGGCAATGCGCTTAATAACTTCCATAGCTTTATCATTTTGCTTTTGAGCTATTAGCCACCTGGGAGACTCAGGCAGACACCTGCAACACATGTAAGCATGACAGCTACAGGGAAGGAAAATGCACTGGTACACAGAAAATGAAACTGGAGCTGAGTTGCTCAGGCTAGAATTCCAAGGTTTATTGGGGATCCATAGGTGGTGTTGAACTCTGTGATAGCTATGCCTGCCAGTGATTGCACTCTGATTTGTGCTTCACCTGACCGACAAGGTAGCCTGAATTTAATTTTTTTTTTTTTAAATCTAAACCCAGTTTGTTCTAGTTTTGAAACATTAGTCTGAGATAAATCCTCTTGATGTATTTTAGAAATAGCTAATAGCCTGTTGATATAAAAAAGAACAGCTGTAAGCCAGATTCTTAATTTCTTCCATGTTAAAAATAACCTTTAAAAAAAAGACCAAACAAAAAAACCCTCCCAGTTCTGTTCCCTGATCGAGTTATGGAGTTTTCTAAGGAGCATTTTTATTCAAATTTATAAAAAAAGAGGAAAAAAAAAAAGAAAAAAAAGTGTGTTGCTTGCATTGAAAAATAATTATAATCAATGAATAAGAAACTCCCTTCTCACGGTAGCTCAAGTACTGTTCCAGAAATCATTACTTATTATTTTTTGATGTATAGCAAGGACCCCAAACACAGAAACGTTACAACATGTTGAAGGTAGTCCCTTGCTCTCAGGTAATTCAGAGTAAACCTTTGGGCAGAGGAAATAGAAAAAAACCCAGATGTCATCCAATATAATCTTGGAAATCCTTCATGTAACTCTATTGCTGATGCCTACAGAGAAACTTCAGCTCTCAGCTACAGTCCCCTGGTTTAATTGGTGTGGTGTGGCATTACTGGCAGCTGCAAGAGCAGGCACTTACCAATAGTAGAGAAGGAAAAAGAAATTGGGCAGTGTGACCGCGAGCTGGAGCCACCTCCAGTGTGGAAGTGCATAAGCCAGGGCGGTGAAGATGAGGAGTCCTAGGGTGAAGGCAAGCTGGTAAGTGATACCCACTGACCTCCGGTAGTCTGAGCCAACAAATTCTGCAACTGCAAAGACAAGTCATATGAGCAAAAATAGATGGGTTTGGAGATCCAGGGGAACACAACTCTTGCCAGCTGAGACCACACGTAGCCCCCATGCTCAGCTGTGCCCTTGTGTTGTGGCACACTGGCGTGGGTTAGGGTGGGAGAGCAGAACTGGTCTTGTTCCCTGGTGTAAATCACAGGGCAAGTCCTGACTCTTACTCCTCCACCAGTCAGCTGGGGACTTCACCCCTGCCTTTGTGGGTGTCAGGCCCTCACTCCATCAACACAGGGCAAAGGTTGCTTTCCTCAACACACTTCTTTAATCTAAGAACCAAATGGCCAAATAAGACACAACTAGGGAACAGAGCCTCTCTACCCGCCAAGCATGTGATGCAGCACAGAAAAAATCCTTTTGACACCAAGGCTGTAAAACACAAATGTTATCTTTCACAGGAAGGTGCCATACATCTTCACAGTATTTTCAAGTTGTTCTTGTCTCTAGATGTTGCCCTTCATTTTGGCACGTGCTCTCCAGCTATGAACATTCCCTAGTTTGTAGGGGATTAGGAATGCCTCCTAATTATTCAATTTATGTCTATGAGCTGGTGCAAGCTTGGGTCATAAGCACCTGTATTTAAGCAGAGAGGTGCAGTTTGGCAGTAAATAGCACAGTGTCACTGTCTGCTCTTGTTATACACAGTGCTTTGAAAATCAGATGGCACCAGTGGGGGTCAGCCCTGCTGCTAAAGAGAGGGGGCTCCTGCCCAGAAGGTGTAACTGCAAACTGCCTTAACTGAGCACGTAGCCTGTCAGCCAGCTCCCCTTGCTGACCAGTCCCTGTATCAGGCGGAAGATCACTGTCCAGGTGTAGCTCGGTGCAAAGGCCATCAGAACGCCCGAAACTGCATTGATGAGGACTGTGACCAGAAGGCAGAGTTTGCGGCCAAACCTGCAGAGGGAAAGAAGAGAAGAACAAGGCTCAGCCCCTGGTAGGGCAGGGTAGCAAACCAAATGGTTTGAAGAGGCTGGAGAGGGTCCCTGTCCCCCTCTACTCTGTTCATTTTGAGTTGGAGTCTATATCTACTCTTCCTTTTTGTGACATTTTCCATCTCAGTAGAAGCTCAGGGGACTCATTTGTCTTGTCTTTTCGAGTCATTACTCATTTCTGGTTAATGATTTAGCTAATGAGTTCAAGAACACTCTGATATGGCTCCTCAGCCCGTCTTTCAAAGCTGCAATAGCTTTTTATGAGGATCTTGTTTGCTAACTGTGATCTTTGCATATTTTATCAGCCTTGGCTGAGTATTGAGCTCTTCTTGAATAGAGTTTGTACATCCTGGTTATTTGTCATTCTCTGTATCACTGTGACTCACTGATAGTCAGAAATAGGCAGTTTCCAAAACAAACAAGCTTACTGGAACACTGGAAAGGCATTTCTTTTCTAGCTGACAGAGATATATATTCAGTTAAAAGTATGAATTATGAAAACCATTAAATTATTCAATATCCACTAATAAAAATAGCATGATAATAAATGCCAGCCAAAATAAATATATTTTGTTCTCCACAGTAATATCAACTGATTTATGACCATCTGGATACAGTTAAAATTAATGTGAAACAAATTTATTGAAAAGATGAGCAAACAGTTTTAGTGCATGAGTTAAAATTTCATCTTGGACTCTGAGCTTGCACTGGAGTTTGTACCTGTGAGAGAAAATAAAACCACTTCACTTGTGAATGTGCAGATTCCTCAGGGCCCTAAAGCGGAGCAGCACCACAGCATTTCCATGGATTCGTGAGTCACAGTTTTAAAAGCAGGGCCTTAGAAACTACCATCCACCCCTTTGTAAGTGACACATAGACCTTTTGAATCAACTTTTGACTGCATTAATTTCCTCTTCAAATCATGAATCTTTTTCAACAACATTCAGAAAGCAGATAAGCAGAGGAAACAGTTAATCTCATACCTGTCTACATACTACCTACCTGTCTGCTATGTAACCAATACTCATGGAGCCAATAAAAAACCCAGCATTCACACATGACTGGAAGAGGTCCAGCTTCCAGGAGTCCTCACACACCAGATTAAACTGCAAGGGCAACCACAGTTAGAAGCACAGGAACATTCCCCACAAACTGTTTGACAGTCCCCCCCCACATGACTGTTTGATGAGGAAGGAAACCAGTGACACCAATGAGAAAACAGACACCAGAAAAGAAACCCTCTGACCTCTTAAACTGACATCTGCAATACATCTTGTCCATATTTTCTAAAATCATGTGAAAAAAGTTACACCCTGAAAAATGATTGCGTAATGACACATAAGGAGAGCGAGAAAGGGAGAGAAACTCCCAGTGAACAGATAAATAAGTTCAGAAAAATCTCTCCTCCTCATCCCCACCCATCTGCTTGAAATTTGGAGGACACTTGGAGCATCGTTTCCTTCCCAGATGCCAAGACCTGTCTCAAACCATGTACTGCCTTGCTGCATGAAAGCAGTGCTTGTTGGGTGTGAAAAATGGAGGTGGTGCCGAGACCTGCTGGGGTGGAGCCAAGAGATGCCTGTCTCACACCCCCTCAGCACTGTCGAAAGTGGATTTTGGCTCACTTTTCTCTGCAGTGAATGAATACTTGGGAACCTGCTTTTGATTTACAATTAACAGGTTACCACTATGCACCGGGAGAAGAGAGAAGGACACACGGGTAAAATATTCACCCAAGTGTGGTTAGACTTCAGCCCAGAAAGTAGCATGAATGTCTTTTTCTAACACGGACAAGTTTGCAGGGGCCATACCAAACAGCTCAGCTCTGTTTTCCTGTTGTGGACAACAGCTGGAGCGCTCTTCTCTGCCCCAGCCCATCTGTCCCAAGGGAAAATGAGATGGACTTGCTATGTAACAGTGATGACAGTGAAGCAAGGAAATATGAACACCATGCCCAAAGAAGCTGTGAAGTATTCAACACTGCACTTTCTTAAGAACAAGTTACAGAAACATCTGTTAGGCATGGTTTAGGTATAGCTAATACAGATTTGAGACTGGTAGAGAAGTAGGAGAGATCTGTCTTGAGGTCCTTCCTATGCTTCAGGTCTCTACATGGCTTTTAAACTGTTGGTATTGGTTTGCATGGTTTTTCATATTTTAGGTTATCTGATTTAGGTTCTACAAGTTGAGAGAAAAGAACGCTGCTGTTGCTAAAACATTATCTGAGAAATGTAGCCCCATCCTCTGTTTCTTATTAATTGTAAGTGGGTATCTGTTTGGATTATCACACAAATGTGCAGTTCCTCAGTTTGGGCTATGGGGTACTACCCTCAGTTTGCTGATGGAAATGAGAATAGCCACTGATGACAGGCTTAATTGATGAGAAGATGGCAGTCCTATGCTCCCAGGAAAATCAATAATTTCCCATTCTTTTTGTATATAAATCTTTGCCACAAGTGCCTACCAGGTTCTGATATTCACTACTTATTAGCTAGTCAGACTCAGACTGTACACCAAAAGCAAACTTTACTAATCCAGCATCTTCTAGCTTTAAGCTGTGCAGACAAGAGTGAATTTTCTGGACAAGCTATGTCTTACCTCTGTCACAAGGGAGCTCCCTGAGGAGTCATAGACCCATCCATCCCAGCAGGGACCGAGTGGAACAGTACTCCCATTGCCCACGAGGCTTCTGAGGGGTTCAGTGCAGCTGATGCCTGTTGCATTCCAGTCCAACTCGTACCTCCTGCAGCGGCTGTTGTAACTGAATCCATGGCCATCCCACTCAGGAACTGTGTGATTCAGCTGCTCCTCCAGACTCCAGCCACACCGCTGGCTCAGCTCAGCCACCCTGGGGCTATGGCAATGGTGCTCAGGGATGAAACCCAGGAAAAAAATCCCCACGTAAATGGGAACAAAAGTAGCAGAAAGTAGGCATAAAAAAAAGAGGACTTTTTTCTGGAAGAAATCAAATTCTCCTACCTGCTCTAAAAAGTCATCCAGGGTTGGCATCTTCGTATGTCACAACTCATTAAAATATCTACCTCTGTTGCTTTCCAGGGCTTTGGCTCTCACTTCATGCTTAAGTAACAGATGAAGTGTTTGCCCAAAACTCACAAACAAATTAATAATTAACTTTGTCAATTGTCAAGCCATGCATTGCAACCTTTGTTTCTCAGATGCCCTCTCCAAACACATTTTGGCTCTTTTCTTTTGCCTCTGTTGGTAATTTGTTTAACATACTTGAAATAAAAGATCTGATGTCTTAGATTATGGCCATTTCAGTCTGTCACTGAGCAACCATCAGTGCACAGTAAGGGTAGGTGGTAATTCCACCTGTCCAGTACTTTCACAGGGCATAAATATTATAAAAACAAATATAGTTCTCTTCCTCATATATATATATATACAACTGAAAAACCTTATCCTCAAAATTGAGGTGGACATGAATCACTGCTTGCATGCTGCTTTGTGGACATAGAAGAAGACAACACAGAGAAAACATAACAGGGCAGATTTCTTTTAGGCACTTAATGGCTAAAGAACAGTGTTGTGTCTCAGATAGGAAGCAGACCAGTCACTGCAGTACGAGCTGAGACTTCTAAGTCAGAAGTGACCAAACTAAACCTACAGGGGTTCACATGCAGCTGTCCCACACTCAGGTAGCCTAGAGTGGCCCTGAGACCTGTCACCAGCCTTTGTATGCCCATCCTGCACTCTGCCTCCTGCCCTGCACCCTGGGGGACAGCGGGCTGAGGCAACTGCAAACTACAGCCCCGTCTCACGAACATTTTACAGCTGTGTAATGTGAATTTATTAGACAATGCTAATACGTAAATGTGCCATTAAGCAGTGGAGACATCTTCAGCATCCTTTACTGAGGGGTACAATTTATGATGTGTTCCTGTAGCTGTGGTTGCATAATGTCCCTTCATGTTGTTCCCCATTCCCTGCAATGATAGAGGACTACAAGAGGTAGTGCAGCTGAACAACGAAAGTGTGGATTTACACAAAACACATCTATGGGCAAAGAATTCTGCCTGCAAATTTTTCACCACCTTTCTGCCATGTGCAAATCTTTCTAAGCCAGACTAACAGCTCCGTATCTTGGTTAGTGCTTCTGAAGGGAACTTCTGAGAAGGCTGCTGTTCCTGGGTTAATTTTTCCCTGAGGAACACTTTCTGACCTTTCTGAGTTTTATGAAGCACAAAACTAAACGATGAGGAAAACAGAAGTGATAAGTAATGTGATATTTTAAAGGGCTATTAATAACAAGTGCTGTTGACCAGCACACCTAGGAAATGCCATGAATCACAAACAAGACTGCTACTTTGCAATAAATATCTTTCGCTAAGAAAAGCTAAGAAAAGCTAAGAAAAGACCAGACCTTTGACTGTGTATAACTGAACAGTTTACCTATCTCTGTTCAGGTCTGGTTTACATCAGGAGCAGAGAACAGACTATTTCTCCTGTTAAGGAGCTCATTGCAGTAGCAGCTTTTAAACCTTGCATCCACCTGCACACAGACTACTCAGCAGTGAACGTATTTGATGCAGTGGTCATCAGCTAAAGCCTGTGTTAGCCAAAACTGAACTAAATGCAAGAAGAAGTGCACAAAATCTGAAAATCTTCTTTACTCCCTTTCCCTATTTTGCCTACTGAAGTTTCATGCTGGGGAAAGTAAGAAGAGAAACTTCTGCAAGTATGGTGTTCACACGCCAGTTATGCTGGCAGAAGGTTGTATGCCTGATTTTGCAGCAAATTAATGTTATTTCTTTTGGAAAACCTCCACTGTCACTTGAGCATTCTCTTTAATCTCCAGGAAGCAAGGTATCATCTTGCTGTGGAAGTGACCACGAGTATCTTCACATACTAAAGATGATATCAAAAGTTTTTTTGTTACTGTCACCCAGGCTGGCCTTAAATATCCTGGCAAGACTGCCTCCTGTGTACGGTGTCACCAGTCTTAGGTAAATTGAGTGGTCCATCCCACAGCCCACACAAGGGCGTATGACTCTTGTCACCTGCATGAGTGCATCTGTACGATGTCTTTAAGTGTGGTTTTTTCCACTTTGCTGCGGATAAAGCAGGTAGTAAGCATGCATGCAGTTCTGCTGGTGTATCTGAGTGCATGTGAATGGAGGCAGCATGAGAGCTTGCCAGGATGACATCCGTGCTGAAAAACTAAACTGGATTATATATGGGATCAAGCATTGTCCCATATCCACACTTCTTAATCTTTGCCACCCTCCCTAGTACTGTTTTGCTTGATTCTTGCTAGCACTTCACAACGTCCAGGCAGGTTCAGGGAAGTGATGCCAGGCAAACTGCTTCTGGTAGGTACGAGGGAAAAGATCACCCTGACTTGGATGTGGCACGTACTGCCATGGTCTAGTAACCACAGCGGTGTTGAATCAAGGGCTGGACTTGATGATCTTGGAGGTCTTTTCCAACCCACTGGATTTTATGATTCTGTGACTTGGAATGGCGTATATGGATGTAAGCCGTGACAAGCCAGAGCAGCTCTGCTGGCAGAGGACATCTTCCAGCAGATGCCTCCGACAGAAGACCCACATTGCTCTGCAGTGGCAGGTTCATGAAACAGTGTCAGGTGTGACAGATTTACTGGCTATAATAAGTAATCCCTTCAGTTTGCAGTAGTGAAGCATTACCATGCCTGCTTTAAAACACGTCAACCTTCAAAAGCTGGGGTAAACATTCCTGTACTCTGACCCTCCTGAGCTTTAGATGTAGGCTCAAAGGGTTGGGTGAAATTTGAACAAAGCAAAGCCTACAATACAGCTGTAAAAAAACCCCAAAACCAAAACCCAAAACAGATTAAAAGCATATTGATTATGATAGTATATATAACTGTTGGTTGCCAAACAATAGCCCCAATTCAAAGATCTGAAAGAATCTTCTCACTGAATCACTCCTGAAGGCTGAGAAACTGAGGCAGAGAGATCTAGTAGGCCAACTTTTCAGAGATACTGGCTTTCAGATCTTTGAGAATTTAAGCTATGACAGTTTTCCATCCTGATTCCTTCTGACATGTTATTCTTGCACAAGTAAGCATTTCTTCATTGATTTCATTCTAGTGAACCATTCTTTCATCCTTGCCATTTAGTAGCGATTTTGGTTCAGTGCTTGCCTCTGTATTTGGACCTTATCACAGCTCCTGTGAATATATCAAGAGCATAGGTGTTTAATAGAGAGCTCTGAGCATGATGCTGTTTGCCATAATCACATGCTACCATGTACCTGAGCAGGACATACTAGGTTCAGAGGAATGTGATGGAGAATCACTGGAAACATCCAAACAAACAGCAAGTCATGCACCCACCATGTGCATAGCCTGTGCCTTGGGGTACAGGTGCATCCACTAGGCTAAGTCAGTCTGATTTCCTGGTGTAAAGGTCCCATCCCCTTTCCTACAGCCTGTTATGGAACTTGTTGGTCCTATACTCTGTGAGTTCAGTCAACTCACTAAGTAGGCAGAAGCTGATCCTAGCAAATATCTGCAGTAGTTGACTGTAGGGGCTCAGTAAAGGGATGAAGAAGAAAAAAACTCAGCACAAGGGAAGGCACAGGACCACCTGGCTCGAGTTGCTGGGAGAGGGAACTGGAAAGGAGAGGGAAGAAGCAGGGTGTCCTCCTTGTGGTGAAGGAGAGACCAACTGTCTTGCAGGTTTTTGTAGGGTTTCACCGGGGCTAGTGTCAATCATGTAAAACCTGAATATCTAGCACCTAGATACCTCCAGATATATATTCACATAAAGAGCAGGAGGCTACAGTGGTGCTTAGTAGTAGATTTGTGCACCCAGAGATGTTAATGGCATGGAACATCCCTCAGGACACAGCTGATTTAGACAAGGTGTATACACATGGGGACATTTCTGACAAATTAACTGGGGCACAAAGTGCTGAGCTCATGGTGGGGCTGACAGCAGGTGGCCAGACAACACCCAATCTTGTGCGAATCCTGCCTGTCAAAAAATGTTTAAGCAAATTTGGACTGCCAAAGAATCTGTGATACACCAGTGCTTTGCGTCATGGGATCTCAGCAATTCAGGTCATCACTGAGGGCTAGATGTCTAAGACCTGACTGTAGAGGGAGCCTATGCACCTTGTTTTTTGGCTGCTCAAATTATTTCAAAAAGCTCGTGTTTGCACTTGATATTTATTTGCACTGTGAGAACTTATTTTGCAACTGAGAGAAACAAAGTGTACTTTATGGTTGGCTCATACGCTACTAACGCATTTTTCTTAGATGAGAATCACACTATATTTGGCAAAACCCTCTAGTTTAAGGTTATTTGCGTCTAGTTCCAAAAGTCACAGCTTGAGCTCATTTCTTCCTTGAACATTAATTACCACTTAGTATTGTGTAACCTAGGAATATGTCCCTTGGTGACAAAGACAACTCGGCACACAGTCCTCACTCCTTGGCTTTTACCGTGGCATAGAGCATGATGTGTTTCTGGAGTTTGTTCTCTGAACAAAACTATTCCTGCAGCCGTGAGGTGGCATGGCTTTTGCCAAGAGCAGGAGCACTGCTGAGCTCCTGTACTACTGGCTTTTGGCTCCACGAGCTGCCGAAGCACTGTGTGACGAGCTGTTTGGGATGCTTATGCTGCCTAGGGGAAGAGAATCATCCCTGGGGCAGATTGGCTTGTTGTGAACCTGTATCATGGTTTCCAGGGTCCTGTTGCTTTGCTCTGACTTCCCAAGGAGATGGCAAGGTCACCGCACAGAGTGCTTGGGGTTTGTACAGCCACTCTTATCAAAGGGTGCAGTGATAACAGGTTACCAAAGGGAGCAAAGGAGTCCTGGCAGCCCTATAGCTACTGACAGAGAGCCCAGAGGGTGTGCTAAGCACTTCAGGAAAGACATACAGGTTTTTTTAAATGTTAATCAGAGAATTTTTCTGAGCCCACTCACCCATTCACTTCACATCCATCAACAGAGTCAAGGATGGACCTGGCCAGACCAGCCTGCCCAGCTCTGGGATGGTACAGTACCAGTACAGCACAAGCCATCCACAGTTA